TTTCTTTATTCATTTAGATTTGTCTTGCTTTTTTCCTGATTTTTCCCATCCTCTTCTACCACATCTTTGAATAACGCGTTAATATTTTCAATCTTCACTGTATTTCCCCGCCTGCACTCCGATTCTTATAAATTTTTTTTTTTTTTTTTTGGTGGGGGGGGGGGGGGGAGAGGAGGGAGATTACCAGTAGTTTTTTGGGGAGGAAGGGAGAGGGGAGAGGGGAGATACCGTACGAGCAGAGGTTTCTCTCTGCATGGCTTTTAGTGTTTACAAAGTCTTTCACATAGCTTGTCTGTCGAAACACCAACTAACTGACAAACACGCCAAATGTTAAAAGCCATGTAAAAGAGAAACCTCTGCTCGCAGGGTAGAGGGGAGAGGGTTAATGAATAGAGATTGAGTTGCCCAGAAATACATAGAATGATTGCATCTTAGTTACTTTACAGGGGACTATCGAACTGAGGTTATAAACGAACCAGGACCAGTTTTATTCACTAGTATGGTCCTGCTCAAGCGAAATTATTAGGTGGTTAATACGATGACTTTTCTTTTATTTTGGGCCTAAGAATGAAAGAAATACACTGTATGAGGTTTGGTGGTTATTTTCTTCATTTGCATCAGAATTCATACTAATACCATTTTAGTTTACAAATATTATTCACCATTTGCATTCTCCCTTGTTTACTTGTAATAGCTTTCTGTAATCAGTGGCTAGTGTAGTTAAGACATGACCTTTGCGGGACAAAAATTGAATCAACTAAACAAAAAACTTCAGTTTATAAAAACTAATGCATTGATGGCTAATTGAAGTGAAAGGAAAAACAACGGTAAATAGGACAACTAAACTCTAACCTATACGTAAGACTCTGAAAAAGCATTTTAATTTAGAGTCTCAAGGATTGTACCTGTGTTCCATGGCTTTCTGTGGTGTACAATTAACAAATGACAAGTGCTGACTGACGGTATCATATTCCTACACAAAGAGAAAACGAAAAATACACACACTCCATAAACCAACCACCAAAGACAGGATGAAGTGGGCCTGTGCGGGTTACTAACCAAGGTGCAGTCAAGCAATAAATAAAATTAAAATGAATTACTTTTGAATTTCAGTAAGATAACAGTTTTATATGCTGTTTTGCAGTGGACTGAACTGTTTTTAATTTACATTAATGAGAGATTACTAAACTTATTGACAGCTGTTTACTTTTACTTTATTTGGCATTTTAAGTGAAACTTTTCAGATAATCAATATTGAAAGCACATGTAACTCCTTGTCATCACTTTTTTAAAAATTTTTCAGAACTTACGTGTATGCTAGTTAAAATATTATTAGTCTTGCATAAACTTCTATTGAAAATAATAATGATAAATAAAAAAATATTTATTTATTTATTGTTTATAAAAATAAATAATTCATTTATTAAGTAATTGTTTATAATAATAAATAAATAATTATCTATTTATTGTTTATAAAAATCGTCATTATCATGGTTAATGCATGGCTGAGTTTAGGTAGTTTCCTTT